AATTTTTTATTGAAGAATGTTAGAGACCCCTTAGTGATGATGTGGCGAGGTCTCATTGGTTGAAAATCAAAAAAAAAAAAATAATTTTTTTTTCCGTCCAATCAGGACCCTACACGCAGGATCCGCCTCCTCTCCTGCGGTCTTCCGTCCGGCGCTATCCAACAGTTTTAACGAGATCGTGACACGTCACCAAGAAACAATCTAAAGGGGTGGAAATTGCCACGTTGCACAAGGAAATGGATTGAGTGTTTGGACCAAAAAAACGACAGTCATTTTTTCATACTCTCCAGTTCCAAAATAATGATCCTTTTTAAGAAATTTAAATTTTTTTAGTAGTATAATTATTGTATTTTAAAAAAATTAATTTTTTAAAATTACTCTTTGATAATATATTTTTTAAGGAATATCAATATCATAGTTATGGCACCGTTTGGTTAGAGTTTCAAATTATAGTTTCACCCATTGATTTGAGTGTATTGTTTGTTTTGAACTTTCAAATTATAATTCTACACCAATTTTTAAAAACTCAGTGCAAAACATAATCATTACTTTTCAAAACTCATAACTAAACACATAATTCAAAATTCTTTTCAAAACTTAATTTAAATCAATATTTTAATTTTTTTAATATTTTAAATATTTAAATATGTTACGATTTTTTTAATTTTTTAATTTTTTGAATATTTTTAAATATTAAAAAGCAAATTCACATACACTAAAAATGTAATTCACGTTGAACAAAAAGCACGTGGCAATAGTAGTGCACACTACTATTTTAAAAAACAATTGTTCTATTTATTCATAAATAATCATAAAATTATATACAATTATCTTTCATAGGTGTGGTGTGGGATCTTGATAAAATTAGAGAGAATTTTAAAAATGTTAAGTGTAGATAAAATAATTTTAAAATAATAAAATTACAAATGATTCATGTATAAATTTATGCAATAAAAATTTATACTATTATCACATATATTTAAATTATTTTTTCAACCTTTACTTTTTTGATATTCTCCCAAAATATTAAAACTCATCTGATGTGAAAGAGTCGTGTCTAATTCAGCAATTATATCTATATTTTTTTAGACATTTTTTCTTTAAAAAAATCTTGATAGGAATGTTGTGGGGTTATCCCATACTAATAATGTTAAAAACACAGTAATCAAATACAAATATTTTATAAATAATGAGTTCTAATATGTGAATCTTATTCTTTATAAAATATTTGTGTTTTATTCTGTATTAATTTCTGTGTATAGACTCAGCCTCCGTTTGAGAAGTGGGTTGACTTTTTGACTTTTTGACTTTTTTGGGGCTCAAAAATTTAGTTTGGGAAGAGCTTTTTGACTTTTTGGCTTTTTGACTTTTTTTTGTGAGAGAAGAGTGTAATAATTATAAGTTGAATGTAATGTTTTGTTTGTTATGGCTAAAATAACCTATTTTGTCTTTTGTAACTAAAATAGCCCGAAACTAACTTGCCAAACAATGCACCCACAAGAAGAAAAGATTATTGTTTAGCCTTGAAACATCTTATGATTATGCCTCAAATCAATCACAAATCCCTATATCCTCTCGTATTCTTGGATGACACAATAAAATAACATCTCTTCTATCAATTACAATAACCTATGAAGCAATTAGTGGATACAAAACAGGTAAATCCGTATTTGTCAGCTCCTCCTGCCTCAGAATACTTTAAGTTTCCAAAGTTTAAAATCAGAAATTTTGATACAAAAATGTTTAGAAACTCTAATTAAAGCTACCACTAATGATGTGACACTCACTGTCACAGTATTTCTACGTCTTAATTTTATTTTATTTTTAAACTTGCCACCTATTTAGAGCAGCTTTTAGAATAACTAAATTAGAGATCTCAATCGGGATTGATTTCGATAACCCAAGCCCAAGAATTCAACCATGGGGCTGCCCTTGACCATCCACTAACTTCCCCACACCAAAAGCAACTTCTCCGCAACAAGAGCAGAGCGGAGCTAGGTTATGTCTTCGTCAATAAATCCAATTCCACTTCCATTACTCCACCCATGGGACACCTCGTGGACCCCACTCGCCCTCTCTCTCTCCAACAATAAAAGTAATATAATAATAATACTCTTGTATTATTATTTAATTTATGTGACACCAGTTATTAAAAACTTAAGACAAGTAAATTACGGAATGTTTGAAAATTAGTTTTTAATTTTTTATAAATGACGTGTAAAAAATGTGAAATGAATGATTTGATAAGGCCTTTGTATATTTTAAATTGATTACCATCAACTCATTTTGTGCCAATACTTTATGAAATGAGTGAGGTTAGTCTTAAGAAAAATACTTGGGAGCACTAATTAGTGCTCCCACTAATTAGGTGGCAGTGAATCTCGTCATTAATGATGTGATGTTTTGGTCTTAGAGTTATAATTTTTTTTTTTTAACTTTTTTAATGCATTAGTGCTATTAGTGGTGATGTTTTTAGTGGGATGAATCATTGTTGTTAACCTTAAACTTGGATTTAAATTTAAAACTTAATTGGGCACGCTTGTGGGTCAGATTTATTGGTCCTCAAGAAGTGACTGTTGAATGGCTTGTCAGGATAATGAATTTGTCAAAAATTATATAATTTTTTTTTTAAAAATTTAAAAATGTATCTTCCATCTTTGTCTATCAGGCTAACTTCACGTACTTGTCTAAGCCAATCTCATTAAGATTAAATTTGACAATTTAAAAATAATCTATCTTTTTATCTTTTTTACATCACATCATTTTTTTATTTTTTTATATATTTTTTATAAAAAATAAAAAAATATATTTATTTAGTTCATCTCAAACCACGATTAAATAAGGCTTAAACACAAGATTTTGATCAGAATAATTCGACTCTAGCACACTAGACTTAGCCATGAAAGCTTGCGTGGGTTTCACTTTCACATGCAACCTGATGTTGACTTTTTAGTATATCTCGTTATTTTTAATTTTTACTACATACTTATTGGAAACACCATATAAATAATATTAAGGCCTAGTTTGGCTACTGCCAAAAAAGTGCACTTATTTCATCTTTTTATTTTTTTTGGGTCACATCAATCAACATCTTCTCTCTACTTTTTCTACACATAATACAAAAAAAGTCAAAAAGTGCACTTATTTAGTCTTCCCAAACTAGGCCTAAATGATGCTCTTGGTTAATTATTGTCATACAAAAGAGCCGTGATCCATACACTCACTGGGGGTCGCGCCCCCAGTGACGTGGCGCGTCCCCAGTGGCTGAAAACTTAAAAAAAAAAAAAAAAAAATTTTTTTTTTGAATCAATCCGGGGCCGACACCTCACTGGGGGTCGACCCCCAGTGGGGGTATGAAGCTTTTCTGCATACAAAATTTAGTCATTGTTGAAACACCACATGATGACATATAGTATTTTGTAATTTGTCAATCATATTAATAAATTTTCAAACAATGTAAGCATTTAATTTTTGATATTAAGTAGACACTGTTAGAGTAATTATTCAATAATCTATAAACATCATATTTTAAATCAGCTGCTTAATAAATTAAAAAAAAAAAATTAAATATGTGAAAAAAATGCAAATATATAATAAATTTTATAAATATTAATAATTATGATTATATTTTTTTTCATAATTATATAAAATTAACAATTAATTGTAATTTTCTCAATTTTTTTATGAATAAACATATTAAATCAATGATTTCTTTTTTAAAAATACTTGACATGCTTAATTTATCATTTTTAAAAATCACGCATAATGATGTGTTTAATAAGTGTCAAATTATAATTTGTTAAACATTTTATTATATAAATTTAATCTCAATATCACATCATTAAAGGTCATTTAAGTTTAATAAGTGTCAAATTATAATTTGTTAAACATTTTATTATATAAATTTAATCTCAATATCACATCATTAAAGGTCATTTAAGAATAATAAATTATGTAAGAGTTGAGTTTCTTTTATGTTGAGATTTCAAGATCTAAATAGATCCAAATAGTTTATTTTGTAAGGCTTTCAATACATAATATATATGAAAAAAATTAATTTAATTCAATAATCATAATTTTTTATTTTATTATATTTATTTCTAAAAAAATAAATAATAAATATATATTTAAAATTAACTATCTAACTTATAAAATAAAAATATTACGATTATTATATTAACTTAAATTATTTTATAAATAATACACATTAAAAATCTTATAAAATAAATGATTTCAACTCTGCAATTTTTTTTTTTTTTTGGGTCTGGCTCACAGAAGAAAATGGAAGTTCATTTTCTTCTTCCAGTTGGCACAGCAAAAAAACTTTTCTTCTTCAAATCCATTTTTTTCCTTAAACAGAGTCTGCTGTGTTGGCGATGAACTTCCATTAACCCATTGGGAGACTCTGCTGTGTTGGTTAGGATCTCCTAAACCCACTAATCTGCTGTGTTGCTTCCTCTGCTGTGTTGGCGATGAACTTCCTCATCCCCTCTCTCGATCTGCAAATCTGCAAATTCAGATTTTTTTTTTTTTTTTGGTACCAAAACGACGTCGTTTTGTCTAGCATCATCTCAGCCTTTGATTCCGTTAATGGGACACGTGTCGCTCTACGAAGGATCACTCTAGAGGATCACTTCACCGGATCACTCTAGAGGATCCGGACGCGGTGTCTCATGGCTCAGAAACTAAAAAAACTTTCCGTGAACCCATCAAACCCCCCCCAAACATTGCCGTCATGGATGACCTATTCTTTCTCTCTTTCTTGGCCTCTTTGTAAAATGTTATCTTTCATACTGTCATAACAACCGAAAAACTATTTAATATTTTTGAAGCATTACGTATTCATATATTCATATTCTTTCAGTAATTATCATATATTATGATCCCTCATATTCTTTAATTATTCAATGCAATTTTCTTGATGGTGGACGCACAAAAGGGTCTTTGCTCCATTTGAATTTCAGAGCTTTCGAAGGTTTTAAAAGTAAGAGCTTCTCAGATTCTCAGTCTCTCAGCTTGTCCCTTTCTCAGATACATATATTTTGACACACACGCTCACTCTCTCTCTCTCTCTCTCTCTCTCTAGCTTTGCTTTTATAAAAGTCGAATTTTCACTGTAAAGTAAAATTTTGGATTCGTTTTTGATATAACCCACATGTTTTCTTTATTCCTTTTTGTCTATGTATGTATATATATACACATATATCCATGGTTGAAACTGTTTTCGTTTCTGGGTTTTTGATTTGTTTGGCTGTTTGTTTGACTCTGAAACTTTTAAGATTTCCCACTTCAAAATTGGTGATTTCTTCTAGCGTTGACATGTTTTTTTTAAAGTATTTTTTATTTCAATTTTAGCAGATTTCAGCTTTCTGTATATATATATATATGCTTTGGGGTTTAGTAGCTAAAATTCGAGCTTGGACTGTTGAATTTGGTTTTTAATCTTTGATCATTTTGTGATTAATTCTTTCAATTTTGAATGATGACCCTCGGATTGTGACTCGGTTGATGCTGCCATTTCATTGGTTGTGGATGTCAATTGGAGTTGGTTTGAATGCCCTACTACAAGTAGCAAATTCAACCCCCCTTTTGTTGGGTATTTCTTGTTGACTTGTGGTTTGATTGCAACATTTCCTCTTTCTTTGTTTGACTCATAGTGGTTATTGGTTTTCAAAGTTGTGCAACAGCTCACATGTTCAGTTATTTTGATGTTGAAGCCTATTTTGTTGCTTTGTGTGATTAGAGTGTTTTGTAGAAGTAGTATTTTGAGATTTTAGTTTAAGATTTTGTGGGTAATTGGTAGTACTTGTGGTGGAATAGAGATGGAGAAAGATGGAGGAGAGGACTGGAGGGAGATGGTGAGAAAGATGCTCCCCCCGGGTGTCCCCTCCAGGAAGATGAGTCTCACCTTGATTACTCAATAGCAATAGAGTATAATGGACCCCCGGTTTCGTACGAGCTTCCTAGATTTGAACCTGTTGATGTAAATTCAACTATGATTCCAACTGCGTCAATGGCAGAACTGCCCTCAGAATCATGAAAATCAGTGACCCGTGATGTCGCCCCTGTAATTGCACCAATCCCTTTGCCAGTGTCTTGTTTTTCTGGTGTCACAAGTCCTCCTATTCAAAGTCCAAGAGTATCTACAAGTTCAGAGTCTGTAGTGTCTGTCTTGCTGAACCCTGATTTTTCTTCTGCTTCCCTTTCGGCATCTCCGGGTTCTGTTCACAATCCTCCAAATAATGCTTCTAAACAGTTAGTTAATGAAGTAAGGAGAGCCCCGGTTGTCACTTTCAATACTTTGGATAGATCAGAAAGAAAAGACCATGTGGAGAAACAAGTTTTTCCTGAATATGTTGGGGTTTCCCGGGAAAAGAAGAAGAAAAAGAAAAGAAGAATCTGTTATAGGTGTGGAAAAGGGAAGTGGGAAACAAAGGAGTCATGGCTTGTTTGTGATGCAAAGTATTGCAGCAATTGTGTGCTTAGGGCTATGGGTTCTATGCCAGAAGGACGTAAATGTGTTACTTGCATTGGTGAGCCAATTGATGAATCAAAGCGGTCCAAACTTGCTAAACATTCAAGGTTTGCTCAGTCCTTTAGAAGTCAAGCAAATGAAGAAAGCAGAGAAAGAATGTGCTGCTAATCAGCTTCGACCAGAGCAGCTGATTGTAAATGGGCTCCCTCTGAAGCCAGATGAGATGGCCGAATTACTTGGATGCTCTTTACCACCACAGAAATTGAAGCCCGGTAGATGTTGGTATGACAAAGAATCTGGTCTCTGGGGAAAGGTAAATGCATCATTATTCTGTTATATACACAGGCCATTATTTCAACTCTGCTTTTGTACATTGTTGGCACATAAATTTTAAACCAAATTTATGTTTAAATTTCAAATACAGTCAATGACACAAATAGAGCTTACGATAAGATTGTTGTAGGCAATCACTTCCCAAAATGATTAACTTGCTCCGTTGAAGTGTATAAATAAAACAACGTTGTATCTTAACGACGATATTTAAGATGCTCAAATGACACGTGGAGCCTACGAAAGATGACACCTGTAGAGCCTACAGCAAGGACACCACACAGGATGAAACCCCAGATCAATCCGGTTAATCAGATATACTATTAATCAGATAGCACTATTATTCAAAATTTAAATGGCGCTATTATCTAATTTGAAATTCAAATATCATTCAATTTGAAATTCAAATTGAAGATGAAGCATTCCTATCACCTGATGGCCCTCCATAAATATGAGGACCATCACACAAGACGGGGGAGAGAAAATCAGAAGTGAAAAGATCAGAGAGAGAGAGAAAGAAATTGAGAGCTAAACAAATCGTTACAAGAAAGAAGAGGAGAAGTCTAGAGAACTCAAGAACCTACGCTAATGGCGATGAATAGGTAAAGGGTTCCAAACCCAAACTGTATTTTGTATTCGAGGGTTTAAAACCCATAACAATCTCAATAAAAAATATATTTTTTTTTCTTAAATTGTCTTTTGTTGTTTATTTTGTTCTTCATTAATTGGAGGTTTCATTTGTATAAAATGTGTAATTAACGATCTGAAATACAGATCGGAAATAAGAACCTGCTATTCAAATAATCAATACTATTTAGTCCAAAAAAACTAAACAGTGAACATTTGTAACATAAATTTTGAAAAGTGTTGAAACATTTCATGTTTTAAAACACCTCGAACCTGCTATTCAAAGGGGTTTTAAAAAAAAAAACCTGAAACTTTGTATTGGCCTACTTAGATTTATGGTCTACAAAAAAAGGGTTTTTTTTTTATAAAAAAAAAAAAAAAACCGGTCCCAATTTGGTGCACACTGTTGGAATACATCTTTAACCTAGCCTAATAGCTCAGATGCCCTCTTGCATGCCCAGTACCTAAAAAGCATCTCACTGGGAACAGCTCCACTCTTAGAAGGGAAATTGATTCTGTGAGTAGGATCTTTGGGAGAAGAGAGATATCCAGGGGTTCGATGATATGAATTTGAGGAATCATCATCAACCACTGGCCCCGCTCTAAAGTCTGGGGGTGTGATCCACAGTCCTCAAACAAACCCTCCATCCCCCAAAAAAAACCCCCCCCCACAAAAAAAAAAAAAAAAAAAAAGGCTTTGTGACAAGGACTTTGTTTGGCCTATTTAGATTCATAGTCTAAAAAAAAAAAAAGTTTTTTTTTGTTTTTTTTTTAAAATATATATAAATTATTATTTGCTGTTATAAAAAAAACTGTTTGTGTTCATATTTGGGATACAAAAAAAAAAAAAAACATACCTAATATGAAAAGATCCTTGTGTATTCCTTAAGGTACTCTTTTTGCTGGAAGGAGAGGAGAGAGAATGGCTGGACTTACCAAACTATGTGCACAATAACGAGTACAAGGCAGAGTATTTGTAGAGCAAAGGTTTTTTGCTTGAATGTGTCTCTCTAAGAAGGATAGTTTATATAGGATTGAAGTCTTGTTCCAAGAGTTTCAGGTTTATGCAAAAACAGTTTTGTGTAAAGCCCTATCCCACAAGGATTCTAAAATATATATATATATATATAAAAAGAAAAAAAACTTAGGAGATTCTTTCAAAAAGAAAAGTAAACCTACAAGGAATGAAGAAAGAGACCCACAAAAGAAAAAGCCCAATTAAAAATAATGGCCTAGAAAAGAAAAGGTCCATGATGGTCTAGGAAAAATCCATGATGGCCTACAAAAAAATCTATTGTAAAAAAATAAAAAATAAAAAATAAATAAAAAAGTGGCAAGTTGGAGGTCCACAAAAGAAAAGGCCCAATTAAAAAAAATAGTGGCCTAGAAAAGGAAAGGTCCATGATGGCCTAGAAAAAAAAAAAAAAAATGTTGTATCAAAAACAGTGGCAAGTTGGAGGCCCACAAAAGAAAAGGCCCAATTAAAAATGGTGGCCTAGAAAAGGAAAGGTCCATTATGGCCTAAAAAAAAAAAATCTGCTGTAAAAAGAAATGGTGGCAAGTTGGAGGTCCACAAAAGGAAACGTCCAATTAAATCTTGGACCTTACTCATGACCCTTAAAGAAAAAAAAAAATCAAGTCCACAAAAAGGACCCATGCAACAGAAGTAAATGGCCAATGGACTATAAAGGGCAATTAAACCTTTATTTTTTTTTAAAAAGATCAAGCCCACAAAAAGGACCCATGCAACAAAAGTAAAAGGGCTCATGAAAAAGCCATCAACCCCCCGCCCCCCAAAAAAAAAGGGCTAGGGACCAAAGCAAAGAAATAATCCCATCCAAGACCTAAAGATCATCCAGATAAAAGTGCCAAATTGTCGTGACTCGCGCAGTTAAGAAAATTCAAAAAGGGCTAGGGACCAAGGCAAAGAAATAATCACATCCAAGACCTAAAGATCATTCAGATAAAAGTGCCAAATTCACTTGTGCAAGTCACGAGGGGCATTTGTTGGCACATAAATTTTAAACCAAATTTATGTTTAAATTTCAAATACAGTCAATGACACATATAGAGCCTACGATAAGATTGTTGTAGGCAATCACTTCCCAAAATGATTAACTTGCTCCGTTGAAGTGCATAAATAAAACAACGTCGTATCTTAACGACGTTATTTAAGATGCTCAAATGACACGTGGAGCCTACGAAAGATGACACATGTAGAGCCTACAGCAAGGACACCACACAGGATGAAACCCCAAAGATCAATCCGGTTAATCAGATAGCATTATTATTCAAAATTTAAATGGCGCTCTCATCCAATTTGAAATTCAAATATCATTCAATTTGAAATTCAAATTGAAGATGAAGCATTCCTATCACCTGATGGCCCTCCATAAATATGAGAACCATCACACAAGATGGGGGAGAGAAAATCAGAAGTGAAAAAATCAGAGAGAGAGAGAGAAAGAAATTGAGAGCTAAACAAATCGTTACAAAAAAGAAGAGGAGAAGCCTAGAGAACTCAAGAACCTACGCTAATGGCGATGAATAGGTAAAGGGTTCCAAACCCAAACTGTATTTTGTATTCGAGGGTTCAAAACCCATAACAATCTTAATAAAATATTTATTTATTTTTCTTAAATTGTCTTTTATTATTTATTTTGTTCTTCATTAATTGGAAGTTTCATTTGTATAAAATGTATAATTAACGATCTGAAATACAGATCGGAAATAAGAACCTGCTATTCAAATAATCAACACTGTTTAGTCCAAAAAAAACTAAACAGTAGACATTTGTAACATAAATTTTGAAATGTGTTGCAACACTTCATGTTTTAAAATTTGTGTCTACATACATGAAGAATAATTCATTTATTATTATTATTATTTTTTGTGTGTGTGCACGCGCACAAACACACGCGTGTGGATAGCCAATGCTGCCAGTTAGCAAGGGACCACTGGTTAACCGGTTAGAACTCGACCTATTAACCTTGAGGTTGTAGGTTCGAACATGAGGGCAGCCATTTTGTGCACATTATGCCAGAGATTGCCAATCTACCTCTTCCAAATCCCATCAAATGGGACTAACCTGGCGTACTTGATTTTTTAGCCAATGCTACCAGTAAGACTCTCTGTGTTGATATGACAGGAGGGAGAAAAACCGGGTCGAATTTTAAGTTCAAACTTAAATTTTACTGGGAAACTCGGTCCTTATGCGAGCAATGGCAACACTGAAGTTTATATCAATGGAAGAGAAAGGTCAGTACTCCGGATTCTTTTACTTTTTGAAATTGAAGGATGAGTCTTACAGTGGGGACGTTACACATGCCCACAATGTATTTCAGTACAGGTGTATTGACAGATCATTTTATTTGAGGTTGCCATGTCATGTGCCTTGCATTCACATTGTGTGTTGATCGCCATTGTCAGGTTCTATTCCCTTGTTGTACTCCCACTTTCCCTCTGGAGAGAACACTTCGGACTGTCACTTTATAACTTGCCCCCTTTTTGCCTGTCTATATCACCAGCTTAAGTATGTAGTCTATGTGAAGTCAACTCTAACCTACATGTATCATGTTTCAGCTAGCAAATGTGCAGTGTCCACGTGACACTCATTTTTGGGTGTGTGATGATGGTCATTATGAGGAGGAAGGTCAGAACAATATCAGGGGAAACATTTGGGAGAAGGTATGTATTTAGACTTTTAGTTGTATATATTTCAGAGACTATTTTAGTGTGGAAATCCTATTATGTAAGAATTAAAGCTTCCTCTTTGTTACACAGGCTTCAACACGGCTCGTTTGCATGTTGTTCTCTTTGCCTGTACCCCGTGGTCAGCCTTATAGTAATCGAAAAAGGGATGAGCCTAGCAATTATACTACCGTTTCAAATTATTTAGAGCAAAAAAAAAAAAAAATACATAAACTTCTTCTACTTGGCCTTCAGAGCTCTGAAACCAGCACTGTTTTCAAGCAGGTACTGCTATTTTGTGTGTACTTCCAATGGGCTGTGGTTGTAGTATATTGCAGGCAGTGCAGGTGGATTTTATATGTGAATTGGTCAGAGGAAATGTTTATCCTATAGATAAATTTAAGCTCTGCTTTGCTCTCTATCCATATTCTCCTTGTAGGACTGTGTGTTCTTGTGTCCACTTGTGTGCTCTCAATGTGTTTTTAATGTACCCATGATAGTTTGATGTGCCTTTGTATGACAGTTTTCTTATTTGAAAATATGCAGTGGACATGGAAGATAATAATGAACTATGATGGTGGACCAAGTTTCTATTCTAAAATAATTTCACAAAGCGGCAGTTAAAACCTTATTTCTGGAGTTTTTCTATTATTTTATTTTTATAGGTTGTTTACCATAATATTCAACCACTGATATGTGTATAATCAATTGTTTGCAAAGTTCAGATGGTGCAAGTACCTGCAGATTCATAACTCACCAAACCCAATACCAATTGAGTTATGTTTTAGGTAATACATATAATCAAGCTAGAATGGATCCTTTTGACTACTCTATTTATGGAAATAGAAGTAAGAAGCAATTTTTAGCTGGAAGCACAATTTTAAGAGTCAAGCTTGGTCATGGCATTAGCAAGCATTGGTAACACTCAAAATTAATGTCTATGCATGATCTAAAAATAACAATGCATGCAGTGTGTGTCCTTGGCACATCTAGAGAGTTGGCCGTCATGGCTTAACCACCACACGCAATCAATCTCCTCCTTTGGGTAGGACACTTTGGGTCATCACATCCAAACCTCCATTACTACCACTCTCTCCTCCAAAGGCCACTCTCACCCAACACAGCTTCGGTGGTCTAGAGTCACTTACGTGTCTACCATACTTTTTAGAATTCTCCCTCTATCACGTGATTCACTTCCTGCAGTCCATAGAAACCAAGTAGCCAGAAGGCACAAAATGAGAATAGCAAAAGATAAGAACTCTAACCTACACGAAAAACAAAGATCAATGAGGTAGCCATGCCGCAACTCTATAAGCCTTGATGCTGACCCTTTTTTGAAATCATCTACATGGTCATTATTTGATCTATGAAGCACGGATACTTCCAATAGGGTGACGTATCCATATCGTATCCGTATCGGATATTGATATTCCTTGGATACTCACGGATATGTATCGAATACTTATTAAAAGTATCGGATACTTCTTAATTAATTTTTTATTAATTTTTGAAATATCAGATATTCAAAGTCACATATTACTTGTTTTATGCAATTAGAGTTGTAGCATTTCTAGCTTAGTATTATAATATAATATAATTTTAAGAATAAATATAAGAATATTTTTTTAATACTTTGTTTAGTTCTTTGATAAGAAGAACATAGTGAGTTAAATAATAGAATTTGTCAAATTAATGTATCCTAATTGTTTTATGCATGTTCCCTATATAACAGTAGTAAAATTAAATATCAATAAATAAATAAGCAAATAAACTTGAATACAACATTTTTGATTAGTACCTAACGGAAAAAAGCACAAGGACAAGTTGTGGATTGTTCTATTATTGTAAATTTGTAATATAAACATATTAGATTTGATATTGAAATGAAACATTTGCAAAACCTATTGAAAAATTTAAAAGGTAAACATAGTTTAAATTAATACCTAATTCTTAAAGCGTGTTTTGCATTATAAAATTATATTGTGGTTTATCAACATTCTCTAACTTATGTGTAACTCACTATTAATAATTTTAAAAGAAATATTTTCACAAGCGTATCTTAACTGTACTCGTATCTTATTTTTTAAAATATTTTGTCGTATCACTATATTCGTATCGTGTCGTATCCGTATCTCATATCTATATTCATGCTTCCTATTATTTGATTAACCAGTGATATGCAACTTTTCATGTGAATATTGATTGTGTTCATCGAGGGTCAAAAGACTTCCTTCTCACCATTCTATGATGGTAAACTGTCATTAAATTGTTCAAGCTCACGGTGAGAACTTGTGTTTACTATTGATATATTTCTCTTAGCCTCCTCGAAGCTAGATTCACAACAATAATTGTGTAGTGTTTTCTGGTCTAGATGGCAATCATTACAAGAAAATACATTTTTAGCGACTAAAATATTAGTCGCCAAAAGTACTGATTTTAGTCGCCAAAAGACTTTGCTGACCAAAAATTTTGGTCGCTAGCTTTGTCGGGGATACATCGTCGCGGAAGGCATTAGCGACTAAAGAACATTTAGTCGCCAAAAGTACTACAAAATGCTGACTAACACGTTAGTAGGCAAAAGTAAAAAGTATTAGTGACGAAAGGAGCATTAGTCGCTGATGACTCACATTAGCGACTAAAATATTAGTCGCGCAAAGGGTGCATTAATTTGTTTAACTCACTTCTTTAGCTACTAAACCATTTGTCGCGAAAACTTAACATATCTATGGCGACGAAATGACTGGTCGCCAATAGTCTCATTTCAGCTACTAAATTTTTAGTCGCAGAAAGGGTATTCTTCTTTGGCTACTAGAAGGTTAGTCGCCTATGCTTTTTATTATGTTTTAGCGACTAAAATTATTGTCACCAAAAGTGTTTTGAGTTGTAGCTACTAAAACAGTTAGCCGCCAAAAGTCTTTCGATTTGTTTTGGCTACTAAATATTTTAGTCGCCAAAAGATTTATTTCTCTTTTGACTATCAATTGTTTTGTCACCAAAAACGTCATTTTATATTTTTATTTTATTTTTTTCATTTTAATAAATTTTGTTAGAACCTGTATGTATCCACCGCAACCTGTAATTTGTATACAACTTATATATATTATCACCTATTCCGTAATCATGTTTCACTTACAACCATCACACAAAAAAGAACGCTTGCTAATGTAAACTGATATACAAGCCAACTATATATATTTCAATTACAAATAATAACGTCATACATTCCAAATACGTTACCAAAACAATGTCCTCCTTACACAACATTTTTACTATACTACGCATTGCAATGACCATTTGCCAAGGTACAAATTACCATGATAATATGTACCATGGCAAAAGGTAATCTATATATATACCACCAGAGCAATTAATACAAGCTCCAAAAATACTATGTACCCTGCCAAAAATTATATGTACGATGCATCCACAGTCTACACAAAAAGTATAGGGCGACAAAAAACTTCCCAAATCCTTGCAAAATTGTGAATTATATTCCGGACAAAAAAATAGAAGATCCACATGTCAATGCCAAAAGCCATCTACACAACAAAAACTACACCCATTAGTTCCATTGTAAATATAGTTGCAAACAAAAAGTTATAGCCATCTACAAAACACAAATTGCAAGCATGTCAATTGTAATTGAAATTGTATTTAACTATAGTTTGAATTTAAGAATTTCAATATAGTTTCTTTATACTTTAAATTGTATTGAAAGTGTACATTTAAAGTGCAAAGAAATTTCCCAAGTCAAGCATGAGCCCCAAGTCAAGTTTAGTCTAATGTGTAAACATATATGTATTTTATTCATAAATGTACATATATATTTGTAACCTTTAATATATAAGCTTTAATATATTTTTATAAGCTTTATAGCGTTTCTCACGCCAACTCCCAACGTACGCGTGCTAATTACGTCCCGTCTGACCCCACAGGTCCTATTTCACATGAGGAAGCTACCCGTGCCATCTTTACAGTCGTTCGGGGGCTACTTTCAATTTTCGGCCCTCGACGGGCTTTTCAGCTAAGTTCATGACGTTTTTCACGCCAACTCCCAACCTACATGTGCTAATTATGTCCCGTCTATCCCCACAGGTCGTATTTGACACAAAGAAGCTACCTGTGCCATCCCTACAGTGGCTCGGGGGCTACTTTCAATTTTCGGCCCTCAAACGCCTTTTTCGGCTAAGTTTATGGCGTTTTTCACGCCAACTCCCAACATACACGTGCTAATTACGTCTTGTCTGTCCCCACAGGTCCTATTTTACACCAGGAAGCTACCCGTGCCATCCCTACAGTGGTTCGGGGGCTGCTTTCAATTTTCAGCCCTCGAAGGCCTTTTTCGGCTAAGTTTATGGCGTTTTTCACACCAACTCCCAACGTACACGTGCTAATTACATCCTGTCTGTCCCCACAGGTCCTGTTTTACACTAGGAAGCTACTCGTGCCATCCCTACAGTGGTTCGGGGGTAGATTTCAATTTTTGGCCCTTGAATGCCTTTTTCGGCTAAGTTTACGACGTTTTTCACGCCAACTCCCAACATACACGTGCTAATTACGTCCTGTCTATCCCCACAGGTCCTATTTTACACCAGGAAGCTACCCGTGCCATCCCTATAGTGGTTCGGTGGTTGCTTTCAATTTTCGGCCCTCGAAGGCCTTTTTCGGCTACGTTTGTGGCGTTTTTCATGCCAACTCCCAGCGTACACGTACTAATTACGTCCCGTCTGTCCCTATATGTCCTATTTGACACAAGAAAGCTACCCGTGCCATCCCTACAGTGGTTCGGGGGCTGCTTTCAATTTTTGGGCCTCGAACGTCTTTTTCGGCTAACTTTATGGCGTTTTTCACGCCAACTCCCAACGTGCACGTGCTAATTACGTCCCGTCTGTCCCCACAGGTCCTATTTTACACCAGGAAGCTACCCGTGCCATCCCTACAGTGGTTTGGGGGCTGCTTTCAATTTTCGGCCCTTGAAGGCCTTTTTTGGCTAAGTTTATAGCGTTTTTCACGCCAACTCCCAACGTACACGTGCTAATTACGTCCCGTCTGTCCCTATAGGTCCTATTTGACACGAGGAAGCTACCCGTGCCATCCCCACAGTGGTTCGGGGGTTGCTTTCAAATTTCGGTCCTCGAAGGCCTTTTCCGGCTAAGTTTATGGTGTTCTGGTAAGACGACATTTTACATAGGAGACTAACTGAACTAATATATTTTTTATGTTGATTTCTTGGCATTGTAGGGACTTCTGAAAATTGATTGTTTTTAGATGTTTCTCATAGTGTAATATTTGAGCCTTCGTTATTTATAAAACATATTATTCATATAATTTATTGATGAATTGAAGGTTTACTAGAACAATTATAGGGATTGAAGATGCGGATACCGAAATATGGGCAAAATCTACATGGAGATGCCTCAAGGTAGTATTTTGTCTATAGTACATAAGGTGTTGCTAATAGTATTGCATACTAAAGACTATATGCCTCATGGTAGTATTTTGTCTATTGTACTAGTTATATTGTACTAAATCAAAAGTCATTCCAATTTAACTTGGTTTATTCAATTAGTCTTAAATTTGAAATGA